TCTGGTCTACATAGGGAGTTCTGTGCCAGCTGGGAATACAGGGAGATCCTGTCTCAAAACAAAACAAAAAAATTATTCTTGGTTTTATGGGATACAGTTTCATGTAGCCCAGACTGATTTTGAACTCTAATCCTCCTCCACCTCCAAAATGCTGAGATTACTGGTATATACTACCTGTATACTACCAGGCCTGGCTGTCCTTATATTTCTTAAAGAAAGAATAGAAAGATTCTAGCAAATTGAAGGTGAGCATTATAAAGACTAAATGCTGTGTTAGCTATAATACTGTGGGATCTGGGAAGCTGCTTTTATGTTTAAATTTTGTGTGAACTTGACTTTTTACCCTCTAAGAGTGTATTACACAATAAAGATCATACCACGAACCTTTATTTCACTGATGTTCATATTTGCTAGTAATGTTGTAAAAGCTTTTTTTTTTTTCTCTCTGATTTTTTGCAGTGCTTAGGGTCAAATCCAGGGCCTTGCAAATACTAGGCAAGTGCTGCTTAGTCACTAAACTCTGTCCTCAGCCTCAGAATTGTGATATTTTTATTTTATTTATTTATTTATTTTTGCTGTGCTAGGAACCAAATCCAACTATGTAGCTTCTACTGGCCTTGAACCCACTAGGTTGCCCAGGCTGGCCTCGAATTTAACAGTCTCCTGCCTCTGCCTCCCTGATGTTGGGACTATAGGTTTGTGTCATTGTGCCGTTTACTTTAGTATTTTTTAGTTTTATTTTAAATAAATTTATTTTAATTTTTTTATATGTATGAGAGTTTTGCCTGCATGTAAGTGTAACCATTTGCAATATCTATGGAGGCCAAAAGAGGGCGTCAGATCCTTTGAACTGGAGTTAAGAACAGTTGTTAGCTGCCATGTGGGTGCTGGGAGCTGAACCCAGGTCCTCTGCAGGAGCAGCCAGTGCTCTTAACTGTTGAGCCAGCTCTCTAGCACCTATTGTTTTCTTTCTTTAGTATTTTAAAGGTAGATTTCACACATATATCATCTATTCCTTACTCTCATCTATTCCTTATTTCAAAATAGAGGTTTAGCTTCAACTTTTCAGATAAGGAAACTGAAATATTAATTTTCTGTAGTTCCCACAAAGCCTGGAAGCCCAGCACCACTCTTTACATTTTTAAAACCCATGCCTCTGCTTACTGTTTTATATTTCAAAACTCATGCTTTTATAGCTAAGAGAGGAATAATTCTAAAGTATCTCTTTCAATTAACAAATTATATGATCTGCACATATGCTCACTGATGACTGATCTATTTTATTTTATTTTTTTAGTCTTTTTTGAGACAGTCTCCCTATAGCCCCAGCCAACCTGGAACTCACTTTGTAGACCAGACTGGCCTTGAACTTAACAGCGATCCACCTGCCTCTGCCTCCCAAGTGCTGGGATTAAAGATGTGCACCACCATGCCCAATATTTCTTGTTTCTTAGAATAGCTTTATTGCATGATCTAAGAAGGAAGTGGGGAGGGGATTTATTTACCATTGGACACTTTGGTCTTTTAGATAGAACGCTACCTCCTTGCCCACAGTCGCTTGCCCTATTGACTAGGTTTTGAAGTGATGCATGCAGAAAATTTGCTTTACCTGCTTTTTAATTTGGCATCTAGGAGTTTCCGGAGAGTAGAGATTTCTTTTAAAGAAAATCAGCTGAGGGTGTAGCTTAATGATAGAGCATTAGTGTAGCTTGAACAAGACCTGGGTATGAGCCCCAGCTGTCCAGTAACAATGTGCGGGAATTCAAAATGTTCATCTCTTGGCTCTTGGAGATGATGTCATCTGTGTCCTTGACAGTGGTTTATTGGCCATCCTCATCTGTAAAATGATTGTCATTGAGGAGGGACAGAGTAGAGGGATTTGATCATAATTAATCTCAGATGTGGATATGATGTGATGAGCTATTTTAAGTTCCTGCCACCTTGACTTCCCTACTCTGATGGACTGTAATCTGAAATTGTGAGCTAAAATAAATCCTTTCTCCCTAAATTGCTTTTTTTTTAAATTTATGTGTATGCATGTATTGCCTGCATGTAGGTAAGTGCACTTGTGTTGTGCAATGCCTATGGTCAGAAGAGGCTGTGGATCCCTGGGACTGGAGTTATGGACAGTTGTTAGCTGCCATGTGGGTGCTGGGATTCGAACCTGGGTCTTCTGCAAGAGCAACCAATGTTCTTAACCACCGAGCCATCTCTCCAGCCCCCTAAATTGCTTTTTTATCAGGGTATTTTATCACAGCAACAGAAGTGAAACTAGAACAGGAGGCACAAAAGGTTTTTGGTCATAACATAGACTCTGGACAGGAAAAGTCTGTCTTGAGAAACTACAAATACGGACCTGCTGTCTTACATGTCTGAGATTTGAATTGATACTGCTGTGCAAGAAGATGGCTACTAAATGAGAAAGAAATAGTTACTGACTGCTATGCTACACATCATACTGGGGAGTCAAATACAGCTCACTGCATCTGACTGCAGCACCATAAGTATTAATGCTCTCTCTGTTCTATAAATGACATACAGCTAAGGTCAGAAAAACTAGGTAATTAGCTTCATATGGTGTCAGTACAATTCAAGTTGAGTTGTACTTCTTACTGACCAACCCTGATACCTCTATGGAGGTCACTTTTTTTTTATGCCATAGCTTTGTTATCTGTAAGAAGAAATTTTTAGTAATTTCTGTCCTAGTTTGCTTCTCTGTTGCTGTGATAAAACATTGACCAAAAGCAACTTGGGGAGGAAAGGGTTTATTACATCTTAGATGTTACAGTCCACCATCAGGGGAAGCCACGGTAGGAGCTTGAGGCAGGAACTGAAGTAGAGACCATGGAGGAACACTGCTCACTGGCTTACTGGGCTAGCTGGCTTAGCAAGCTTTCTTATGTTGCTGGGTCCACCTGTCCAGGGATGCCACTGCCTACAGTGAACTGGGCCTTCCTATATCAATCAAGCAATCAAGAAAATGCCTCATTGACATGTTGACAGGCCAGTCAGATGGAGGGAGTTCCTCAGCTGAGGTTTCTTCTTTTCAGGTGTGTCAAGTTGACAGCCAGAGGTCACTATGACACTTTCCCCTTTTTCTTCATAAGGTTCTTGTGAGTAACAAGTGAACTAAAGGAACTGAGTATACCTTATTTAAGTCTGTAAGTCATTGCTACCAGTGTCATCACTAAAGGGTTTTTTTTTTTTTTTGCACTTAACCAAAGCATAAACCTTATTACTCAAAGATTCAGAGGTTCACAAGGTTTGCCACTGAAGAATTAAGGCAGTTTTATTAGTTTTTATCAGATGTTTCCTTAAAGTTGTCCTTTGACCTCTATTCATGTGTACACTGTATTCACACACGTTACACACAGGTACAAAATAAGTAAGATTTTAAAAAATTTAAAAAGTGAGGAATAATGAAATAATGGTTCATTCTTGGAAACAAAGCTTATTCAGGTTACACAACCCAGTTAAATATGAAAGTACCCAATAGATGGCTAACTATGTTGTTGGGGACATTTACAGTGTTTATTTCTGTAATTAAAACCCTTATGCTTTATTCTAAATTTTTCATTTCTCAGACTAGAATTAGATTAAACTTTATTTTTTTAACCCAGAATAGTGATACACACCTGTAATTCTAGCACTTGGGAGATGGAGGGAGGAAGATCAGGAATTTAAAGTTAGCCATGACTCTTAAGTTTGAGGCCAGCCTAAGAGACATGAAGCTGTCTCAAAAAACAAACAAACAAAAACTCAAAGAAAGAGAAAACAAACAAACAAAAAAACCAACAGGCTTTCATGTAGCCCAGGATGGCCTCCAAACTTGCTATATAGCCCTGGATGATCTTGAACTCTTGATCTTCCTGCCTCTGCCTCCTATATTATGGAATTACAGGTATATACCAACATCTTGGCCCCAAATTCTTTATTTTGGTTTTTGAAACAGGCTCACTATAGAACCCATACTGGCCTTGTGGGCAGTTTTCCTTGTCTCAGCTTCCCAAGTGCTGGGTCTACAGGAGTGAGCCACCATACTTGTCAAGTTTTTTTGTCTTTTTGAGACAGGGTCTCCCTGTAGCACCAGCTGTCCTGGAACTCACTATGTAGACCAGGCTGGCCTTGAACTCACAGAGATCTGCCTGCCTCTGCCCACCACGCCCGGCTAAATTACTTCATATAAATAAATTATATCAAGTTTGAGTGAGAATTTTGTGGGAAATTAAATTGAAAAGTAAATTAGGGAACTAGAGAGATGGCTCAGTGGTTAAGAGCACTGACTGCTCTTGCAGAGGACTCAGGTTCGATTCCTAGCACCCACATGGTGGCTTACAACTGTCATAACTCCAGTTCCAGGGGATCCAGTTACCCTTCTGACCTCTGTAGGCACTGCACAACATGGGTGCACTTACATACATTCAGGCAATACACTCACACACATAAAATAAAAATAAAATTTTGGGACTGGAGAGATGGCTTAGCAGTTAAGAGTGCTGGCTGCTCTTGCAGAACACCTGGGTTTGAATGCCAGCACCCACATGGAGGCTAACAATCATCTATTACTCCAGTTCCAGGGGATCCGATACCCTCTTCTGACCTCCACAGGCATTGCGTGACACTGGTACAGTCACACACTTGCAGGAAATACACTCATAAAATGAAATAAAAAAGTAAATAATTTAAAAAAGAATTTTAGGACAGTGGGAGCCCATAAAGACTGCAGTAGGGAATATCATTAGCGATAACATAGGAAGATGAATCTGCCATTCCTCTGAGGTCTTCCCTGACCTTTCCTATCTTGTTATATAGTGCCAATATGTCTTCTGTTATAGTGCTTAAGACTGTGGAGATGCTGGTTCAGCAGCTCTGTTCTCTTATATCTGTCTGTCTCATTGAGTGAGTAAATGAATGTTTTCTTCTGTTTTTCTGGGAACTAAATTGTTCCATTTTTTTTGTTTTGTTTTGTTTTCTCTTTATGTTCCTTCCTGGGCTCCAAGGAGGAGGCATCTCCCTATTCCTTACTTGATATCTGCTTGAGTTTCCTGACTACCAACCTTGAGAAGTTCTGTTCAGCAAGACAAGATGGAACACTATGTCTGCAGGAACCTGGGGTATTTCCACAGGAGGTGGCTGATCGGCTGCTTCAGACTATGGCATTTCATGGTAAATAAGAGAAGATGGAAGAAACAAAGTATATTAATTGGCATTAAAATTTGTGGTGTTTGTTTGATTTTTGTTTTTTGGGGGGGAGGGGGTTGAGAGACAGGGCCTCCCATAGCCCAGCTGGCCCAGAACTCACTATGTAGAACAGATTGGCTTTGATCTCAAAGAGATCTGCTTGCCTTTGCCTCTTGAATGCTGAGACTAAAGGTGGGCATTAGAATTTGAAGTGCTGCTTTGGTCCGTTAGAAACAGGAGAAAAAGCCAGATGAGCCTGATTCTAGGAAAAGGAGTTCATTTATTTTTATCTGTTCTGCCTCTTACTAATTTAAGGTAAACATTTTTTTTCTTTTCTAATTTAGGCAAACCTTTTTTCTTTTTCCTTTCAAAAGCCATGCTTGTGTCACAAAGAACTTCTCTAACTACAATATATCCATTAGAAGTCAGTCAGCCTTACTTCCTCTCTTGACAGTGGTAGAATAATCATCACTATTATGGGAAAAGTAGTTTTTGCTTTTGACCTTTAAAATAGGGAAATTACAGATAATTTAACATGTTTTCTAAAACAGTTGTTTTTTTGAGACAGTCTCATGTGTCCCAGGCTAACCTCAAACTTATTATGTCACTGAGGATGACCTTGAACTCCTGAACCTCCTGCTTCTACCTCCAAGTTGCTCTTATGGTAAGCTCACCATCATACCTGGTTCATGTGGCTCTGGGAATCAAACTGACACCTTTGTGCATGTTAGACAATGGAGCTACATCCCCAGCTGTAAAACAAATCCTGAAAACAAACTGGGAAAGTAATATCTGTGAGATATACCTATATTTCTTTCTTTTTGAGACAAGGTCTCCCTGTAGCCCCAGCTGACTTGGAACTCACTATGTAGATAGGCTGGTCTTGAACTCTTAGAGATCCTCCTGCCTCTGCCTCCCGAGTGCTGGGTTAAAGGTGTGCACCACCATACCCGGCATACCTGTATTTCTTTAGGATTTGGAAATTCTTACAAGTAGGGAATACGGTTTGTTCACAGCTATTAAAATAAAATGAGTAACTAGGAATAATAATTGTTATCATTTGTTGATTACTTGTTATCTGCCAGGCATTTTACATATATTTTCGTGGAATTTACTAAAGAATTCCATAAGATAGCTGTTATTATCCCCACTAATATATTGTCCCCATTTACATATAAATATTGAAACTGACTTTCAGAGAGGTAACTTGCTGAAGGTCATAGTACTTGTAAATGGAGTCTAGGCTCATTTGTGTCTGCCTCTATAGATGTATACCCTTCCCACTGTGCCATACAGCCTTCCTTCACCTACATTTGAGCTATCCCTGCTTTTAGAAACCAAATAATTGCTTAAAGTTTTGCTGTGACTTTATGTGTATACATATGAAAAGTACTATGGGGGGGTTGCAGGTTGTTAGCTCAGTGGGTAAAGCACTTGCTACACAAGCTTGGCATGGCCACCCATGGGAGATGGGGACAAGAGAAAGCCTGGGGCTTGTTGCCACTAGCATGGCCGAAAAAACCCACAAGCTCCAGGTTCAGTGAGACCTTGTCTCAAGGGAAGAAGATAAAGAACAATAGAGGAGGATACTTGATGACAACCTTTGGCCTCTGCATGTGCACCTGCACACACAAACCACATATAAAATGTTAAAAAAAGAAAGAAAAAGGCAAGTGTTAGATATGAGTGCAAATAATGCATTGCAAAGAAGTAGGAAAAGTTGGATATCATTGAGTCATTTTGGTATAATTTAGGAAGGAAGACCTCTACACTCCTTAGTTTTCACTGAATTGCTCAAGTTCCATTCTGCCATGGGAACTAGAGTAAATATCAGTAGTACTGTATATTAAAGTTATGTTGACTATAAAGCAACATAGCAACTTAAAGAGATTATGCTAATACCAACATTTCTTTCTAATCTTGGTGATTATGCTCAGCATATCCAATTGAAAAATTCATTTTAAAAAGCTAGGTGTATTGGGCCAGTGAGATGGGTTAGTGGTTAAAGGTACTTGCCACCAAGTCTGATGACTTTAGTCTTGGAGACCCACAGGATAGAAGGAGAAAACTGAGTCCCAGAAGTTATCCTCTGATCTCTACACTTGTATGTGGCATGCACACTTGCCCAATAAATAAATTAAAAAAATAAAAGCCAAGTATAGTGGCACATATATGTAATGTGCCAACGGCACTTGGGAGGCCAGAGCAAAAGGATCAGGAGGTGAAGATCATTTTTGCTACATAGTGAGTTTGAGTCTAGTCTAGACTAGATGAGATCCAGTCTCAAAACAAAATTAGTTTTAGTTAAGCATGTTGGTATATACCTGTAATCCCAGCACTTGGAAGGTGGAGGCAGAAAGATCAGACATTCAAGATTGTCTTTTGCTATGTAGTGAGTTCTAAGCCAACCTGTGCTTTTTGAGAGACTCTCAAAAAACATAATAGTGCTGGGCAACAGGCAGATCTCTGTGAGTTCAAGGCCAGCCTGGTCTACATAGTGAGTTCCAGGCCAGCTGGACTTCAGGGAGACCCTGTCTCAAAAGACAAAACAAACAAACAAACAAACAAACAAAAAAACCCATAAGAGGGCCAGTCAGATTGCTCAGCATATAAAGGTGCCTGCCACCAAACCTGACAATGTGTTTGATCTCAGGACACACATGGCAGAAGAACTAACTGGCAAATTGTCCTCTGACTTCCATATATATGCCATGGCACATGAACACAAAATGAATAATGCTTTTTAAAGGCCCAGAGTGGGAAGAGAAGAAGAAAAAAAAAACCACTACCACAACAGAAATTAGTCTTATAAATCAAATTTTAACTTAAAAACTTTTTAATATATTTTAT